AAACTTTTGTGCTCCTATTTTTTAACAGTACTTTATTGAAGGTTAATTTACATAAAGTAAAACTCACAGAGCTTAAATTTAAGCTCATTGACTTTTTTTATATATGTATACCCCCTTGTGATCACTACCCAGGTCAAGATATACAATATTTCTAATATCCCAGAAAGTTCTCTCATGCATCTTTCCAATCAATATCCAAAGAACCACTATTCTGACTTCTATAACCATAAATTAGTTTTGTCTGTTCTTGAACTTCATAGAAAAGGATTAATACTCTTTTGTGCCTGGCCGCTTTCTCTCAACATAATGTTTTTTGAAGATGCGTCTATATTATTGCATGTAATTTATTTGGTAGTTCATTTCTCTTTATTAATCACATTGAATGAATTTACCACAATTTTTTTTTTTATCCATTGCCCTGTTGATGGACATTTGTATTATTTCTATGTGGGGCCATTATGAATAAAACTGCTATGACTATTCTTGTACAAGTCTTTTTTGGGGGGTCTGTGCCCTTGTTTCTCTTGGGTGTACACCTAGGAGTGGAATCTCTGGGTTATTGGTTAGCATTTTATTTAACTTTGAGAGAAAATGTTAAGAAGTTGTCCAAAGTGGTTGCATAATTTTGTACTACCACCAGCAATATATGAGAAATCCAGTTGCTCCACATTCTTCCCAATGCTTGGTATGGTCAATCTTTTTGATTTTAGCCATTCTCATGGGTGTGTACTGGTATCATATTGTAGTTTTAATATGCACTTTCCTAATGACTATTGATATTGAGCATCTTTTCATATTCTTCTTTTATGAAGTGCCTGCTTAAGTCCTTTGCCCCACTTTTAAATTGAGTTGTTTGTCTTTTTATTATCTATGTCTAGGATTTTTAAATATATCCTGGATATGAGTTCTTTGTCACTATATGTGTTGAGAATAATTTATTCCAGTCTGTGCCTTGCCTTTTCACTGTCATAATACTCTTTTGATGAACAGAAGTCTTAAATTCTGATGAGTTCCAATTTATCAATTAAAAATAATTTAAATGGCTTGTTGTAACTTTTGTGTCCTTCCAAGAAATCTTTGCCTATCTCAAGGCTGTGAAGATATTCTGATATATTTTCTTCTAAAACCTTTATAG